TTTTTAGTTTGCCCCCCTTCGAGTATTCGCTGTGAAATCTTTAATGTTTCTCATAAACTAAACATAAGAACAACTTTTATATTGTTTGTAATATTTCAAGATGAACATTTACTGGACTGAAGCAACTTGATTTACTTGATTATCCATGCCTGAAAAAAAAAGTATCAGGTATAATGCAACAGGCTTTTGAGGAATGTAATTTTTATATTGTATTGCATTGTCATTTTGTATTGTCAATCAAATGATCGGCTGAAAGCGGTGTCAAATAAATATCTGATAGGTCTACACATAGGTCTACATCAAGATATATCGTAGTTCAAATTGTCTGGCAATGAGTAGAGTAGGCTATTTCAGAATTACTGTATCAAGATGATACCATCAATATTTATTGAATCAATATGATGGATAAAATTGTTTTGTAGTTGCGAGTACACGAGTACAGTCCTAAGCATTGATTCTTGCCTCACTAAATGCCGCAAAGTGTCCTCCTTTTTGGTGTTATGGAAATGGCAGACAGCAATCTCTGTGATTGGGAAGTGCATGCAGGTGAGGGGGCAGAGAGGATGATGGTAAATGTAGTGAGGAGGTGGTGAGTAGCTGGTGACCGTGACACAGAGCTGGGCTGCCTCTTCTATAGCATCTAGCATCCATCTACGGCATTCTCTTCACTCCCATCTGAAAATGACTTGCTTTAATTATCTACAATCACAGTGTCATGTGGACACTTTGATGTAGCTATATGAACCAGTTCTATGCGAACAAACCCATTCGAAAAACGCAATGGCTGTTCAATGACTCTTTTTTAGGATAATTAACTGTGCTGTGCTTCTGTGTGGTGGTGGTGGTGGTGGTGGGGATGGGGGGTTGTCTAAGCTTGTGTCTAAGCTTCAAAATCAATTCCACTGTGAAGCTAAATCACGCCTTTTCCATTTTTTTCTCTCACACTGAACTGAAGAAGAATTCAAACAGACATCTCATAGCTAGTTTAGCTTTTGTAATACAGCAGAAAGAAATGCCCACCACTTGCAGTGAAAATAAATAACTTTCATTACAAAAGATTTTGTACCTTTTTTTGGACAATAAAACTGTGTAACACTCAATAACTCTTTAAACATCTTTTGGCTAGACAGTACTTGTTTTGAATAAGAAAAATGATGTTGTTAGTAATAGATTCTTCATGTTGTCATTGTTATGTGACCTTCCTGCACCAGTTGCATTATTTCACTGCAAATCACAACTCCTGTCCTGTGGCCTCGTGGGTCAATAGAGTGGTTCAGGGATGAAATCAACCCGGAAGACTAATTTGCCACTGGTTCCCTCGAGATTTTCCTATGGAGTTTTCAATTTAGGAGCGAATTCCCCTAACGTTCCCGAATGGTCCCATGAGGTTATTTTTTTTTTGGGAACCAAACAAGAACGTTATAGGAACGTTCCATGTAGGTTATTTTTAGGTTCCATTTTTATAATGTAAGGAGAATGTTCTGGGAACGTTCAATTAACCTTAAGGGAAAGTTCTAGGAACGTTCTGGGAACCAAAAACTAACGTTCCCAGAACCTAAATTTGTTTGCTGGTAAATAAAGTCTGTGTGTCATAATTTGACAATTATTTGATAAGTTGTTCTACACGGTAAACTCCACACTCTCACAGTTTCTATCTAGTTTCTTATTAGAAACATTACTTTTAAAAAATAAACAAAACTGCTTCAAATATCACGTTTTCAGTAGCCTTTGTGTGTGTCTGTCATTTTTACAGTCTGTATTAAAGAAATTGCCAGGCTGTCATAATTGACAAGAGCTATAAGCCAAAAGATGTTAAAATTGCACTTTCAATGATGGCAATTTGAAATCGCTGATGTTTCTGACGTCACAAACTACTTCTACCTCGTAGCCAATCAGGTACGTGCTAACTTTAACATTATGACCGCGCTTTGAAGCAGTGAGTCTCAAAACAAGAAAAGTAAGTTTATCCAGGGACATTTTTCACGCATAGATTTAGCAATATAGCAGGTGTTTGATGTAGGCCTAGGCTATATTATGATGATGTGATTAACTATATTGCCTACCTTTCTGCACTGATGTTCCGAGTTGTTCAAAACGTTTAAGAATACCGAGTCCAGCCGAGGCAGTGGACTCTGATGCCGAACTAGTAGCCTACATGTTTCCAGTAACATTAGCAACACACTATTAGCTATTTTATAACATAGTCTCATAAAAGGCAATCCCATTGTGTAGCGTTTACCTAAGTAAGTTGACCCGACCGAGTGAATCTCTGAGCTCAGCTGGCGTAAATGGTTGGAGGCGGAGCTAATTAGCATATGGTTACGTAAGCTATTTTAAGGCATGGAGACATTTTTATCAAAGTAATAAACGTTTAAATATGTAATTTCGGTATTCAAATATGAGTTTTGAGGAATCAAATTATTGACTACAGGGGGATTTTAACAAAAATAATAAACTTTGTCTAAACGGCAGACCATCTGCTCAGCTTCAGGAGGGTAATTGTGCTGATCTGGTCTTGTAAACACTGTGAATAAGACCAGCATAAATGTCTGGTTAGAGGCAATTCAGGTCCAAGCAGGCACATTTTATGTTTATGGAGCCTCTGCAGGTCCCCTTAATTGAATAAAATGTTTTTTTTGTTTTTTGTATTTAGTGTAACCCATCCATATTACACTGAGCTAAAGCAGAGAGACAGAGAGAGAAAGAGAGAGAGAGAGCTCTATGGAGGTCACCAACAGAAGGTGAAGCACAGCTCCCTTCAAAAAGAGACTGGACATGAAATACCAGCAATTAAGCCACTGTAATCATCCTATTTCAGTATTATTCACCGATTAACCTGTGTGGGTACATCATCCGTATATTGATTGTATTATGGAAGGACTGAAAATATAGGCTACTTCTTGTTTTCTGGTGACATGTTTGTCATTGTGAGACCAGAGATGAATTTAGTTTATAGGGGTGCAGTAATAATTGACATGGTTAAATTCAGACCAGAAGTTTCCTAACTTCCAAAACATTTATGTAGATGAAGATTTTGGTGCACTGGCGCCCTCTTCTGTCTAAAGCGTTTCACAGAAGTGAAACCAGCTTGGGTAACATTTCAAAAATTATTCAGATGAAATACATTGCTTAATGTTATTATACATGTCAGCAATGAATTGCCTTTGCTTCTATTTTTAATCATCATAAGATGTTTGCTTCTATTTTTAATAATCATAAGATGTTTCAGGACTCAGGAGAAACATCTCTGAGCAATAAAAATATATCAATTTGAATAATATGCATTATTTATTTGTAAAAATGGTTTGCAAAAAGTATCGAACATCAAACATCACTTTTTTAAAACATGTTTGTCAATCAGATCATTTAATTAACACTCATCTGTAACAGCTAAATCAGAGCACTGGTAAACCTGAAGAACCAAATAGTTTTGAATGCAGCAGAAATCATGACTAAACCAGTGTAAGCATATATTACACACATTTACACTATCAGTCTCTATGACAATTTTGACAGTAACTTTGTTCTTTACCGCTAGAGGGCGCTGAAATGCTGTTAATATGGCAATCAATGTTTAAAACATGCATTTTAATGTAAAATACTTGTTTATTTAACATATCTTAAAGAGCTGGTGAACGTTTTCATAGACCGGGAGTAGATCCACACGAAATATAGTCAAATGAAGAAACATATACACCGATCCATACTGTTAACGTGTCATGGATTCTTGACTGGCTGAAATCGCACAAATGTCATCGTCAAATTGAGAATACGATCATGATTGTAACTTGAATTTAATTTAGTGAGTTGCTGCTGTTGCGCACATTTACAGAGGTAGCACAACATTATTACGTAAGGTTGCACAGTATTTAAATCTGAAGTGCAGCAGGTTCTGACATGCAGTTGCAGTGGCCTACATGCACGTCACGTGGGTCAAAGCTAATTTCCCTTAAGCAGAAGTGTGCAAATCTTTTTTTACGGTCTATGGTGCAAACAAAGAAGCTGAACAAGAAGGGAATAGCAAACAGAACGAATAAAAACTCTGCACTATGCGGCCAGGACAGTAGTTTAGTAGTCTAGCTAGCTGAACATGCATTACACATGTGCATGACATCACATCAAATTCTTTTTTTTTTTTTGCAGTTTACTTTTGTAGATTACAGTAAATGTTATCATTTCAATAACTTGCACTTTTTATTTCCATTTCCAAATTACAAGAAAATGGAATTACAAGAGTTGCAGGAAAAATTGTAGGATCTAAACAAAAATCGGTCGCACAGTTATATCAAATTGCTGTTCAGAGGAAAGCTTTGACTATAGCAAGAGATACATCACACCCTTTGAATCATGTATTTGAATTATTGCCATCACGTCGTCGTTACAGAACTCCAAAAGCTATTAAAGCAATATATAAACAATCTTTCGTACCAAATGCAATAAGTCTTTTAAATAAAAGGAAGAAATTGTGATTGTGATTATTTTAAGCATATATGTTTATGTATTGTGTGTTGTTAATTGTTTTTTGTGATTGTAATCGCGAGACCAAAGACCAATTTTCAGCCAAGGCTGAACAATAAAGGCTTACTTACTTAAAAAAAAGTTTGCCAGGCCCCCAAAACACCGTTGTCGTGTAAATGAACGGCCAAAACGCATAAAATGTTGTGTAACGGCACCTAAATCTTCAAAATGAGGACAGATTACCAATGAATTACAGAAAAGAACACAGGTCACATACACCCTTCAGTGTTTTCTTCTGTTGACAACATATTTGCTCCAATTCTCACCATCAATCTAACTCGAATAATGGTTGACGACAAAGACTTTTGCCCTCGGGGAGGGTCAGAGGTGAATTTTTTTTTTTTTTTTTAAATCTCGGTTTGCGTTTTATAACTTAACATGCAGTGTATAATGTGGCAAGCTGCCAGGCCCTGCCATATTAACGCAAGAAAATCAAAGCAGGAAATGGAGTTTGCTTGACAAGAACACACACACAATGTTAGTTTAAAAAAAAAAACAGCTTTATTAATACCGCTCATTCAAAGAAATATAAAAAACTGAGTTACTTCTATATTTACAGAGTATAGTTTTTGCTTCAAACAAACAGAAACAAATCCTACTTGTACAAATTGAAAAAATATCCCCTGCTGTGACGGTTCAATATTGTCAGCAGTAAAGAAAATAGTCCTCTTCGTCTCTCAATAATAGTCTGTGCAAAGAAAGAATGCATATCAAACACACCGTGTTGCTGCTACATTAAGGCAAACCCCTAGGAACAATACACTTAGGAAACTCCTTGGTAAAGTGACAGTGTCAATTAGATCATTTCTCATTTAAAAACAAACAAAAACCAACTTTCCTATAGATACCTTTTATCACATCTTCCACAAAAACAAAGCATAAAAAGGTCAAAATCTCTTAAAACGGTTAGCAGATCATTCAGTACCCTTTAAATTCAAAGCTAATCACTGGTTGACCATGTCTGTGAAAAAGCATATTAGAAAGAATACACCTCTGAGAAGCCTCAAGTTTGGAGTGTCAGAAGCTGGTTGTATATCTATGAATGGAGGATCAGTAGTTCGACAACTTCATCTCTACTCAAAAGTGCTGCGAGGGTTGGTGCCCCTCGCCATAAATACCTCTTCATTGGCATGGAAACTATGAAGACAAACCTAAAACAAACTCAAATCCACTGCAAAAAACTAAAAAAAACTAAACGCATGCGTAAAGTGGACAATGCATCTTAAAAGCAAAAACATAAAATTTAATTAAGTTAAGAAAACAAAAGCTAATACAATTCCTCATGGGATGCAGATTTTTGCAGGTTTGAGACAAAAATATATCAGCTTTAACGTTCCGCATGCTGTTGCGTATGGACAAGTAAAAGAAAAAAACACTTTCAAAAATACATTTATCAGATCAACTGATACAATTAATTTAAGAGACAAACATTCACGGTCTCCTCAACGGTTTCAAAAACATTTCATTGAGGAGCGACCCAACCGCCGCGGCGCTCGGACTCTTAGTCTGCCGCCGCGTCAACCGAAAGTAAAGTCCTGTGGAAAAGCGGTAGGCGAGCTTAGTTTTGGTAGATCTTCTCACTGGTGGAGTAGTCGTTGGTAGTGCAGGTGTGGGCGGCCACCCCTCGGTGGATGGGTTCGGGGCTGTTGCTGCCGCTGCCGATGGTCAGGTTGAGCAGACTGGTGCACGTCGGCAAGTAGACGTGCTGGACGTGTTCCACCTCTGACCGACACACCGGGCATGACTGTAAAGATAAAACAGACTTCAGTTAGCATACACCACAATAACATTGTTATATAGCACTTTAATAAACGTCTTATGGTAGACAGTTGCAATTATTAAGGCTGGGCAGAGTATGCCATGCTAAAGAATGTGTCAACAGGAGAGATTTTTTACATGCCACTTATATCACGGAAGATGTATTTGCACAGATATTTGTAACTTTACTTTGTTTATGGGCGCATGCGGTTGTGTGAAGGGATGTGTCGCTCTCAAACAAGTCAATGAGATCTGTAACATTTACTTGATGGTTTTATAATTTTGCATAATTTATATTTTTCTATTATAATATTGTAACTAAAAACAAAAGTCATTTTGTAATGATGCCATTTATTATGAATGTTAAATAAAATTTCCAGAAAAACAAATATACTAGACAGAGCAATGGCATAAAAGTGTCAGTGATTAAGAAACAGAAAATTCTTTAGAATTAAAAAAAAAAAAAAAAAAAAAAAAATGTATGCAGACTAAACAAACTTTACATTTTGAAATTAATTGAATGACTATTTAAAAAAATGTCGGTGGTTCAGCTAATTAAAAGTCTTCTTTACACTTTCAATACAAGTTAACAGTCAGTGTTATTTAAACTAAAATTGATTTTTTTTTGATAATTAAAACAAACATTAGGTGCAAAAATAAAATTAATGTTACCTTGGTAACCTAACCATGTTGTGGCATACCAGAAAAGCAATACAAGTAAAATATAAAAATAAAAGCCAAATATATATTTTTTTAAATCACAAATATCATTAATTAATGCATATAATTAAATTGTCACACCACATGACATTTTACAACCTGAACTAGACTTGCCACAAAAAGGTTTGAACTTTTATAGTTTTATTCTGCATCATAGGGCTTAGATTTGAACAAACATTTTCCAAAATTAAAATATATTTAAGAAATTCGAAATTAATATTTAAAGCTGCAGTCCGTCGTTTTTCCTCTTTGTCGCCATCTCTGTTCGAAATTCGAGCTTTGAACTCTGGCTGGTTGTTTTTTTTTGTTTGTTTTTGTTTTTTTTCAAATATGTAATTTGGATAATTAAAAAAAAAAAATTCTTCAGACTGCAGCTTTAAAAAAAGATCCATTTATAAAATAATATTAAATATTATAGTAAATAATCCCCCTTTATAATAATATTATTATGATATCACAACAGATTTATCACTAACATTTTTGGCCCAATGTTGCAGTAGCACCTCAATGCAGTACATGAGATCCACAGGGAGGAGTCTTTTCAAGATCCACGGGGTGGAGCTGGGTAGGATTAGGGTTAGGTATAGAGATTAGGGGTGGGTTTAATGATCAGGGGGCGGAGTTGGGAAGGTTTAGGTGCATGTAAGGTGGGAGGAGTTGGATCTGGATCCGACTCCTCCCCGTGGATTTCATGTTCCGCAGTGAGAACCACCTCCAATGCAGGGTAAAATGTTCCCCAAACCCAAATTTTCTCTAACCTGCAGCTGTGTAGCACAGTTCTGGCAGCAGACCATGTGACCGCAGGGGCAGAACGCGGCGTCGATCTCTTCTTCGCAACACAGCATGCACAGCAGCGCTTCCCGGAGTTTCTGCAGCTTCTCCTGTAGCAAGCGGCTCTGCTGGCAGCCCCCGCAGTCCAGCGCCCCCTCCTGGTCACGGGACGGCGAGCGGGACGACGGGGTGCGCTCCCCCGGCCTCGACATCAGGTCCACGATACCGGCGTTGTACAGTGCGCGTCTGGCGTAATCGTACACTTCCTTGGAGGTCCGACGGATGTCGAATACGTACTTCTTGCCCATGTTAATGTTCTCATTGAGGAAAAGTGAAGCCAGGTGACCCTTAAAATCCCGGCTGTACTGCATCATGACTGCGTTTGTCACGGTGTCGCACCTGCAGACCAAAGCGAGAGTGATAGGTTAGCGAGATGGCGTATTACACATGAGCGCATGATCAGCTCAGTGTCTGCCACACGGCAGCTCAAATGACCCATTATCCATCAGAAATAATGGCCTTTTGAAAAGCTGCTGTAGCTGTGAAAATGAAGGATGGCGCAGCTTGTTAGAGTTCAAGGGCAGAGAGCAGCCGCTGGCTCGGTTCTTCAACGTCTTGGCAACACCATCTATTATCGAGGGCTGAAGAAACAGCACCTTACACACTAACACATTTAAAAAGGTGAAAGCAGTTTTATTGCTAGACATATAGAACACCATCTAGGTTAGATAATGTGAATGTTGCTACAAAGCAACGTCTCAATCTCGTTTTTTTTTTTTTTTATCAGCGGGATCTGGGTTTTGCTTGTCAACCCAAAATCGAAAACAAAATTACTTTGCATAAAAGAGAAACCTTTTATTATGTTATTTTTTGCATTGTGACATTATGACAACTTAACACCCTGGGACTAGGCTTAAACCTCGTCTGTGAAAAGCTGTGCATAAGTGCGTGTAGTGCCAAGACTGGCAAAGTTGCTTAACTGCACATTAACATGAAACAATAAATCCTGTTTAAGTATGTAACGATGGCTCATTATGAAGGGTTTTATGGTGCTTTCACTTGTGTATAAAGGAGTCTCACCTGTAAAAGGCATGCGTCTCTGTGATCGCCCGGTACAGCCCGCTAGCAGCTCGATTACTGATTAACTTGAACAGCAGGACCACACTGTCGCTGGTTTCCTTGGTAACAGTCAAGTACACAGTCTTCCCTGATTGCGTGGCAATTTGTATTATGGGATAAGATATCCTGCATTGAAGGGAAAATATGACGCATTACATTCAGAGGGCAGTAATGGCTCAAATTCAATTAAAGTTACGTGACTGATCCGGAGATGTGCTCTGGGTGTCATTTTATGAAAATGATGCTATCAGGAGGACTTTAGGCTGCATCAAAGTCTAACCTGTTAACCAGGGTGAAGTCCTCTCGGCAGACGGCTATGCCCTCTGGTCCCACTCCGATAGCCAACCTCTGTCCTTCAGCGTCCCGCACCCAGTGCCACTCCACCCCATAATGCTCCAGCAACGACACCAGCTGCAGCGCCTGGTACTCCACCGTGGCCTGGCTCAACCCCTCCAGAGCCTTGTGCTTGGCTATGATACTGCCAAAATCAAAAGACACAGGTTAAAAAAATAAATACACCGGTGAGAAGCAGGAGAGAGGTTGAGGGAGAGGGACAAGAGTAAAAATCTTTTTTAATATTCATTTTGAATTTTTGGTTTTGCCATTGACATGATAATAATATAAATAATAATTCGAAAGAAAGGAAAAGAAACAAACATACAAACAAACAAAACCAAATCTGAAAGTTGATGCAACATTTTATTATAGCTGTTATAAGTTATTTAAATAAAAATTTATTATTTAAAAATTAATTCAATCTGCAATATAAAAATATGATTCAAGTCACAACAGAACTTTAAAAAGAGAAACAAAAAATAGAACATTTTAAATTTCTACTAAATCAGACTAAGGCTATTTTTACACAAAAACGATCTGAAGAGAAAACGCAAAAGTGGCGTTGCGTGGTCGCTTTTTATTCTGCGTTTAGACGAACGTTATGGGTGGGAAATCTGATATCTACTTCCATTTTCAGCCAAAAACAAAGACTCGTACAGATCATTTTAAAAGAAAATGTTACTATAAGAAAAAAAAAAAAAAGAAAAAAAACAAAGTCACCGATATTTAATCCATGTCAAGCAAAAACATTTAACATTATATCACCTATCATCAAGTCCATGGCTTTGTGTGTTAGCCGGTATGAAGCTCTTTGATTTTCTTCATACAAGCATTAGTCTTAATTTGATTTGATGACAATAATGATTAATCACTAGAGACAGATTTCATTAATCTACTTTGATCATATTTGATTAGGTCATTTGTTATCGAACCAAAACAAATTAAAGAGTCTGAACAGAACTCTACAAAGGAGCGCTGTAATTAGTCAAACACTAAACAGGAGAGTTTTGTTTACAACCACACCACCCTGGATCAGAAGTGTGCATCAGAGCACAGATTAGAGTTCAGCTCCGTTGATTAGTAACCACCTAAATAGGTTTCAGTATAATTTAATTTTTAAAAGCATTTATTTTTTCATTTAAATGTATATTTTTTTAGAAATATTTCAGTTTCTTTTTTTTTGTGGTTACATCTTTTCAGAAAAAAAAATACATTTATTTTTAAATCATTTAACATACTAATTTATCTTGGTGAGAATAAAACCAAGAACATAAAAAAAGATATTCCAGACCCAAGATTTAAAATAATATAAATGAACAGAAACATACAGTGCCAAATGAAACAACCATAATTTATTCTCTCTAATTGATTTATAAAATGGATAGAACCTATATATTATTGGATCTAAAAAGGTTCAATACAATACAAGGTAAACTTTTACCAACACCATCTGTGGCATAATGATGATTATCACAAAAAGTGTTTGTTTTTATTTTACAATCTCTGCGAGTTCAGTATTTCCAGAACACATTTAATATCATAAAAGCACGCTAAAAATATTTATGATAATTTTTCATGATAATTGCGATTGGCGTGTTGGGTTACCTGTTGATGGTGGCTTGGTTGGGCTCTGTGGCACAGAGTTCAGTGTACCAGTACTTGGCTGTGTTCTGGTTGTAGTCCCCGAACTCGGCCTGGGCCAGGAGGGCGCTGAGCTCTTCGGCTTGTTCGGAGCACATGCGCAGATGTCCACGGTGCAGATCCTCTTTCACATGCATAAAAAACAGGTGCCTGTAGAGCAAAAGAGACGAACAAAGAAAGCGTGAGAGCTTGTTACGGACGGAAGCAGGTGGTACATTGGAAACTGAGGGAACCACATATGGATGTGGACAGGTGGTGCAAAAGGAAAGCGAGAGCGGATATACACCGACTACAACAGGTGATGGGGAACTAGAATTACAAAAACAAATCTATCAAATGCTCTCACATGCACAAATAAGATCAATGAATAGATATCATTTACCATTTAGGGAACAGTGAAAACCAGAAGTAAACAAATCAATTGGAAAATAGCAAAAGGTCAAACAGAAAGCAGAAATGACGGTTTCCATTCCAAATCGACACTTTCACTTTGACAACAAAACAGGAGAACTTTGCATTTGTGCGTAAAGTGGTTTGACTTTTGCTCCAGTCTCTTACTTATCTCTCTTATCTGGCAGCGAAACAACGACTCCTGAGATTATACGCGCCCTAATGAATAACCCCGCCGGCGTGTTACAAAACGATAAGCATGCCGTCTCAATATAGTGCTTGAAGAGCACATTCATGACTCACTGCTGACAGAAATCCCTATAGCTGTAATTCAGGAGTGCTAATGGTGTGTTTGACTGAAGATAGATCTCCTTTCAGCTGTCTGTGGGACTGTCCGTATTTGTTCTCTGATCGATCAGCAGGAAAGTCATAAGGATAAAACTTGACATTAAAGTCCCACAAACCAAGCTTGCAGCCGTTAAAACAGTGGTTTGTTATTAACTTATCTTTTTATTGATTGATTCTCACTAAGGGAATGTTTTTTTACCTTGACTAATCGTTAAACTGCTTCCTGCTCAGCTCAGCTGTCAAATGAACCGATAGAATTGAACTTAACCACTTTGTAATAGTCAACAAGAAGGTATTTGCACAATGATTTCCGGGATCAACAACAGTCAATAAATGATGATTAGACGAGCAGGACATAAATAAATAAATAAAAAAGTTCAAACAAAAACAAACGTTTGTAAGAGTATGATTTCAAACATAAAAGAAAATGCGGAAAAAAAACAAATAAAAATGTAAATATGAAACACATGTTTGGTTGCATTTCTGTATCTAGTTCAAATAAAATCAATGAGACAATATTAAACACTATATTAACAATTAATATTAAATAAATTGTTATTGGGGTTAACTATTTTTTATTAATATTATTAAAAGTGTAACATTACTGTTATTAAAATATTCTTATTTTATATTATTAAAACCAATAATTTTACATTAAATGTAATAATAACGAGAATAATACATTTAAAATAAATATTGCATTTTATCTTGTATTATTATCAACATGTTTGTGCAGTTGTATGACTGTATATTTATATTCAGGGAAAAACAAGTTTGTACTGCTTGTACTTTATCAGTAGTTCACCTGCAAACCAGTTTAACAGCATCATGGTTAACTTGTACTCCTGTACCAACCAGCTCTGGCTCCTTTAAGTTTATAAATATCTGACCTAAAGCCCTTATGTCCCCATAACTTTACATCCACTACAACTTTGCAAGTCCCCCGAGATGAGATTTGGGAGACCAAACAGGGCCAGCATGCCTCTGTTCCCCCAGCCAACAGAAGAGCACGGGAACACCAAAACAGGCTAGGAGACATTCCTGCTCTGCTCACATAGGCGATGGCTCTTTAAGAAAACAAACAAATGGCTGCCGACAAAAGCCCTGGACTCATAAACATAGACTTTGGATGAAAAAGGGACATTATAAAAAAAATTTAAAAAAAAGTGGAGAATGAAAGATTTGAGGTGGATTCATGTTAGACAAATAAACAAGACCGGCAGTTTGACAAAGAAAGTCTCGCCCGGCCTGACGAGACACTTCCCTGTGGTGACATCAGACTCATGTGATGAATTACCTGGCAGGCAAAACAAAGGAGGCTGACGGGAGCAGGGAGAGGTTACTAGCGGTCAGACTCAAGCTACTCCAGGATGGAACGTGCAGCGCTGGTTCAGTCAGGCTCCTTATGAGACTAATCTTAGAAACACGCAGCTGTGCTGATGCAGCCACTCATCATCATGATCCTTCACCGTGTGTGGGTGGAATGTGTTGGTGTGAACATCCATAAAAGGTCGATGATTAGTAACGGAGATACCTTAAAGGGATACTCCACTTTTTTTGGAAATAGGCTCATTTTACCACTCCCCAGAGTTAAACAGTTGAGTTTTACCATTTTCGAATCCATTCAGACGATGTGTTGATATTTATAAGAATATCAGTAACCAGACAGTTTCTGGTCTCATTGACTTCCATCGTATATTTTTTCCTACTATGGAAGTCAATGAGACCAGAAACTGTCTGGTTACAGATATTCTTATAAATATCAGAAAATCGTCTGAATGGATTCGAAAATGGTAAAGTGGTAATGGGGAGTGGTAAAATGAGCCTATTTCCAAAAAAGTAGAGTATCCCTTTAAAGCAATATGCCACTAGAGACAACGTTACAGTGATTTTACCATTGTTACCAAAGAGGGATGATTCCCAAAAACTAAAATGACCAGTGTAAATGCACAAGGTACAGCATCCATGTTATAAACATATGACTCTTTAGCCCCTTTCACACAGCGAGTTGATCCCGGGAAATTGGCAGAACGCCTTCTGTGTGAACGCAAACACGACCCGGGATTGATACCGGCATCGATGCCGGGTTGGGGACCTAGTAACATTGCCGGAATCAGTCCCAGAACGCACACTGTGTGAACAAAAGCCAGGACCAATGCCGTAAGGGGTGTGTCATAGTGATGACGCTCGTGCCAACGCTGTTACTCTTAGAAGAAAGTTTGTGTTCGTCATCAACAAAGAAAGGACTAAAACAAGATCGTTCACCAGCTTTGTGGAACGGTATGCACGTGTACATGTTTGACGCGTACGTTACAAGTCTCATCCTGATGTCATGTGTCTTTCCGGGTTGTGTGTGAACGCACTCACAGATCCCGGCAAATCACTGGCAGTTTGAATGAACCGAAATCAACCAATCCCGGGACAAATGCCGGGTCACACTATCCATGTATTTTCCGGAATCTTTGTGTGAAAGGGGCTTTTGTGTGGGTACGTAAACTGCTTAAAGTATCCACACCGCATTATATTGCGGTTATTGCAATTACTGCATGAAATCATGATGTGTTATTTACAGTAGGTTTGTGTACGTGGTGATGGCGCAGTGGATAAGACACATCCCTTTGGTGTGATAGACCCAGGTTCGAATCCACTGAGACACCAATGTGTCCCTGAGCAAGACATTTAGGCCCCATCCACACTACTGGGTTTACGTTTTATTAGAATTGATCTCCGTCCACATTAAAACGACTGAAACGCGGATCACGTGATTATTCACCAACACTGGGCATGTGTGTGCCGGCGAATCAGGGAAAGATACGTCATGACTGACGACACCCAATCAAAGAGCAAAGCGTGAGCCTCTGCGTCATCGTTTCTAAAGTCCTACGTTTTTTTCCGTCTTCACTAAAACGCCCTCCGGAGATTCAAAACGCAAAACAGAGCTGCAGCGTTTCTAAACTTCTCCATTTTAGGTCTTCGTCTTTTACGTTTTAGTGTGGACGGGAGGTGCAAACGTAGCAAAAGGTCTCCGTTTTTAAACGAAAACGCAGTAGTGTGGACCGGGCCTTAACCCCTAGTTGCTCCAGAGGCGTGCGACCTCTGACATATAGAGCAATTGGATAAAAGCATTGGATAAAATGTAAATGTATTACCACACCTTCACATTATATTATCCAACTAATAAAAAAAACTACAAAGTTACTCTGAAACTACAAAGTTCCTCACACAAAGACAAAGAAATAATCACGTTGCAGCAGGAAAACTTGATCCAGTAACTGGCAGAATTCAATTAGAAACGCCTGCACCCTTCTGCTGACAAGAAATGGGTCATGCCGTGATATCTGAGAGAGCTTGAGCTTTGCGAAGGAGGGCTTTTGTGGGTTTGAGGTTTTGGCTTCAAATGCAGTGCAAATTTCAGCAGAATTTCCTCTGATGTGTGGCTGGAAAGTGAATCATGACAGGCAGGAGAAAATAATTTAGAGTTCACAAAGTTTTAGGCACTTTCAAATTAGCTGATAGTAGGTTTGTGAGACATTAAAGGGTTTATATAGGCTGAAGGATGGCAAGATTGTAAATGTTTTTATTGAACTAGCTTGAAAATGTGATTTTTTTTTTAACATTTTAGACACAAACCTACAGAGCCACTAAAGGGACATGGTGGTGCAAAAAAATAAGTGGGATAGGGGAAAAAAAAGTCAGTGCTTTTGCTTTCTCTCGCAGACACTTTAATTTTACTTGCAAAACTTGTGTGTTCCCAAGAGAAACCTCTGCGTTTCTCAAAGTTTTGCTAATTTTTCCTCCCCCCACACCATGTCCCGTTAGGTGCTCCGTACAAACCCGTTTAAAGTTGCAAGATTAACTCATTCATTTTAAACTTGTAGGATTCTGATCACTAATTTTGCTCAATTCTATCCCTAATAATTGTTTCGTCTTTTCAGATTCTGGCAAAGTCATCATGGGGGGCCAGATGTTTTGGGGTCTGACGCAATGAACAAAACATTCTTCTGAAATGAAACGAGAAGCTTCTGCCCAGACTGCAACAAAGGGGGTAAGAGGAGTTTCATTCTTTTCAGGCGCCCTTTGCAACAATGTGGTTTCAGTTAGTCAAATAACATTGCTCTGAGCCAGGCGTGTGGATGGGGTTACTCTCAGTCAACGAACTCTAGTAAACCCAGCCATGCATTACAGGTAAACACCTCTTCGCTAACCCACAAAGCATTAATCATCATTGGCTCAAACACAAATTCGGATGAAAACTGAAGCAAAAACAGGCATTCAAACAAAGAGATTCTTTGTGAGCAAACGCCTCTGGTAAGTGATGCAGTCCGCATCGATTTGGCAAATGGTTATAACGCCGTCAGGCAAAAAAAAGGAAAAGAAAACCTAACAAAATTAAATTGGGTGTGGAGACAACC